GCTAAGCCAACTGGGTTCCCACGTGGTTAAGCCAGGTAGAACTTCTTGGAGAAACTGGGAAGAACACAACAACATGGACGGCGAGAGGGCGTCGTTGCGTAGCAGGGGGAGGCTGTAGAGGAGGCTGGTGCGTTTACACGCTGCCTAGGGTATCAAAACCCAACCCAGAGTTGCCTCGTGGTCACGCGTGGAGCCACACGAAGCCAACACACTAAATGACCTCACCTCTACTTCTTGTAGCTGAGAAGGCGTAGGGACGCTGTAGGAGGCAGGAGAATGGTGCTGGAGAGTGTTGAAGGGCTGTAGAGAGGGTGATGAGGTGAACACGTGACTGCTAAGGCTGGAGATGACGCCGTGACGCCTATGTCCAGATTTTGTGGGAAAAATCTAGGAGGAAGATCTCTCTCAGGTCCCGTCAAGATGCTTGGAGGGAACAGATAACTCTTTAGGCCAGCAGGTGCGTTGGATGACGATGGATGATGTTGACTGGCGTCGACCGATGGTGTTGACCCCCTTCACCCTGAAGAGGCTCACAATGCCGTTGACTCCGCTGTCACCACTGTTATTGCTGTTCTTACTGCTGAACAGCGGTTTGGTGCCGATGAAGGTAGCGTAGGTAGCAATGATACAGCCGTGGGCTAGTTTGGCTTTAATTGGATAGGAGTGAGTACACAATGGGCAGTGTGAGGGAGCGACCGCAAGCCAGTCCGTGGAGGGGGAGCACTTGTGTCTATCAAGTCGGTCGGCCTAGGAGTGAGAGCAGTTGGGCTGAGCCTCCCACTGACCTGGGTGAGCCTACAGAGGGCAGCACCTAAATGCCGCGAAATATGAACTAGTCAGAGCAGACGGCTAGGCAGTGTGTTCTGGCAGTACAGGCTGTCTACATTGCAGTCCAAGAATATGCAATCCACCCACCCCTCTCTCTCTTGTCTTACTGCTGTCACCATGTCATAGAACTCCAGTAGGTTTGTGACACAGGATTTCCCGTCCCTGAAACCATGTTGGCTGCTGTTGATGAGATCATTCCTTTCTAGGTGTTCCAACACTCTTCTCCTGATAATCTTCTCCATGATTTTGCATACTATACATGTCAGTGACACTGGTCTGTAGTTTAATGTGTGTGTGTGTGTGTGTGTGTGTGTGTGTGTACTCACCTATTTGTACTCACCTATTTGTGGTTGCAGGGGTCGAGTCCTAGCTCCTGGCCCCGCCTCTTCACCGGTTGCTACTAGACCCTCTCTCTCCCCGCTCCATGAGCTTTATCAAACCTCGTCTTAAAACTGTGTATGGTTCCTGCCTCCACTACGTCATTTTCTAGGCTATTCCACTGCCTTACAACTCTATGACTGAAGAAATACTTCCTACTATCTCTCTGAAATCATTTGTGTCTTCAACTTCCAATTGTGGCCTCTTGTTTCTGTGTCCCCTCCCTGGAACATCCTGTCCTTGTCCACCTTGTCTATTCCACGCAGTATTTTAAAATGTCGTTATCATGTCTCCCTGACCCTCCTGTCCTCCAGTGTCGTCAGGCCGATTTCCCTAATCTTTCTTCATAGGACATCCCCTTAGCTCTGGAACTAAACCTTGTTTCAAACCTTTGGTACTTTCTCTGTTTCTTGACGTGCTTTATCAAATGCGGGTTCAAACAGGTGCTGCTTTCTCCAGTATGGGCCTGAAATTACACGGTGTTACAGTGTCTTGAATGATTCCTTACTAAGGTGTCGGAATGCTGTTCTCAGGTTTGCCAGGGGCCCATATGCTGCAGCAGTTATCGATTGATGTTTGCTTCCGGAGACATGCCGGTGTTATACTCACCCCAAGATCTTTCTCCTTGAGTGAGGTTTGCAGTCTTTGGCCACCTAGCCTATACTCTGTCTGTGGTCTTCTTTGCCCCTTCCCCTATCTTCATGACTTTGCATTTGGCAGGATTAAATTCAAGAAGCCATTTGCTGGACCAGTGTCCAGTCTGTCCAGGGCTCTTTGAAGTCCTGCTGGTCCTCATCAGATTTATTCTCCTCATTAACTTCACATCATCTGCAAACAGGGACACTTCTGAGTCTAACCCTTCCGTCATGTCGTTCACATATACCAAAAATAGCACTGGTCCTAGGACCGACCCCTGTGGACCCCGCTCGTCACAGGTGCCCACTGTGATACATCATTACGTACCATGACTCGTTGTTGCCTCCCCGTCAGGTATTCTCTGATCCATTGCAGTGCCCTTCCTGTTATATGCGCCTGATGCTCTAGCTTCTGCACTAATCTCTTGTGAGGAACTGTGTCAAAGGCCTTTTGCAGTCCAAGAAGATGCAATCAACCCACCCCTCTCTCTCTTGTCTTACTTCTGTTATTTTATCATAAAACTCCAGAAGGTTTGTGACACAGGATTTGCCTTCTGTGAATCCGTGCTGGTTGGCATTTATACTCCTGTTCCGTTCCAGGTGCTCCACCACTCTCCTCCTGATAATCTTCTCCATAATTTTGCATACTATACACGTCAATGACACAGGTCTATAGTTTAGTGCCTCTTTTCTGTCTCCTTTTTTGAAAATGGGAACTACATTTGCCGTCTTGCGTGTGTGTGTGTGTGTGTGTGTGTGTGTGTGTGTGTGTGTGTGTGTGTGTGTGTGTGTGTAGATCGGTAGGTATCACTTTATTTTGTGTAAAAATAGTGTGAAATTTGTGATAAATGGTTTTGAAACCGACTAGTTGAAGATTTAGACACTTATGCAACATATGGAAATCTTTATTAAGGAAACGTTTCGCCACACAGTGGCTTCATCAGTCCAATACGAAGTATAAATGGGTAAGGAGTGGAGAATTCCAGGCTGAGGGACTGAATACTTCAAACTTCTCCTCTCCTTACCCATTTCTACTTTGCATTGGACTGATGAAGCCACTGTGTGGCGAGACGTTTCCTTAATAAAGATTCTCATATGTTGCATTGTTATTGCGTTGCATTGGTCTCAGTTTGCCCGTTGTCAAGTAGTTATACTGATGTTCGTTCAGTAAGTAAACAATGGATCTTTGGAATAACTTCATAATATAATACTGGTGGAATTAATGTAATGCTAAGGAATTTAATATAATGCTGATGAATTTAATACAATAATGGTGGGTTTAATACAATGCTAATTAATTTCATGCAATGCTGATGGATTTAATACAATGTTGATGTATTTAATACAATGCTGATGGATTTAATACAATACTGATGGATTTAATACAATGCTGATGGATTTAATACAATGCTGATGGATTTAATACAATGCTGATGGATTTAATACAATGCTCATGTATTTGGTACAATACTGACGGATTTAATACAGTGCTGATGGATTTAATACAGTGCTGATGGATTTAATACAGTGCTGATGGATTTGATAAGAAACAGGATCTCCACTGAGTTTAGTCTACGTAGGTGTAAATTTGAAATTTTACTGACATTGTTAAAAAAATCCTGGACTCATTGGAGACCGACCCATTTCTGGAGAATGCCTATCCTGAAAGGCATAAAACTTTCGGTGTTAGTGGACTTAATTAAAAGAAAGCATAATATTCACATTTGCATTGTATAAATCTTAATGTGCCAATTTTATGCAAGAAAATTGTTTCCATGTATTAACGAAATAATGGCTCTTCTGATAATTGTCAAATGTTAAGCTCAGCTGTATCTTATTAGGAACTAATTTTGCGTTGAATTTAGGGGCTGTTGGAGCCAAGTTGACAATTTTGCTGAAAACAAATATCAAATTGGACATTAGAAAGTTAAATATTTTCTCTTGTAGAATTGTAGTCTTTCAAATATGTAACTGAGAAATGAAAACTAAGAAATGGAGAAAATATGTGCTTTTATGAGTTTAATGAGCCCTTAAATATTGTATTTTCATACGATTTTATACTGACGCCGCCACACTACCTTACTCCAAATCTTTCGTATATAATTAAATAATAATATTATAAGCTCCTTCTCCCCACGTATGCCATATTCTATTCAAGATTGATGGACTGACCACATAGACTCAAGGTTGAGGGACTGATTACCTCATTCTCCTCCTGCTCTTCAAGATTCTCATTTGTATGGACTGATGAAGCCAATGTGTGGCGAAACGTTTCCTCAATAAAGATACCCAAGAGTTGCACATGTGTCTAATTTATCAATATCATACCTGATTGGTTTGAAATTTTCAACCCTGGTGAATTATAACCAAGAAGGAAAGTTCATGGAATACTTGTTAGGTGGAGTTGTCCCCTAGTCAATTTTATACTGACCTTTTCAAATTTTGGAGTTTTTGTGATAACTTTAGGAAGCCTCTTCGGATTATCTTCAACTCTTCAGTATTCATGTTGCCTAGTCAAAGGAAGGTTAGTATTGTTATTGAAATTTGGAGTTGCAATTTTGTAAATTTTAATTTCGAAATGGTAAGTTATTGCTTAAAATTAAACATTAAAGCAACATCTATGAAATAAATAATACCAGCAGACCCTGCTTATACAGCAAGTTAGGTTCCAAGAAAGTGCTATAACGTGAAAATCGCTGTGAAACAGCCATTTTTCAATTTCAAATGCATATAAAATCCTGATAACATATTTGCACTATCATATTTTAAGTGAGCAATGGACCTAGGCCTAAAAAAATGCATATACAGTACACACATTACTTACCTTAATATATTTTCGTCCTTAGCTTATAATGAGTGGTGAATATTTTTATTGTAGGAAGTTTGAATAAATGAAGAATGGAAATAATTAAAAATCGTTGTATTAATGAAACATTGTAAAGCAAAGTGCTGTAAAGCGGGGCCTGCTTGTATTATATATTTATTTTTTTTATTTCATTCAAAAAAGTTTCAACACTGTAAAGGTAAGATGTTTCTTTTATGTTTAATCATAACTAATTTAATTACTATATTAAAAATGTCATGATGTTTTCCAGAAGAAAAAATTCAAACTCTCAGACAATTTAAGTAAAATGTTCACAATTACCTTCTCAACCGCAGGTTTTCGGCAACCTAACAATGGGTGTGATGGCATGGACGATACCCTTCCTTGTGGCGTGTTCTACAAGTGGTGCTTCCAATAGTGCCATCTTCACCAATGCTAGGGTACTGTTTGTTAGCTCGAGGCGTGGCCAGATGCCCCGGGTGCTCTCCCATCTCCACATCCACAATCACACTCCCATCCCTGCCCTCTTCTTTGTTGTGAGTTGCTTCTCTTTCATTGTTGTGACAAGTATTCTGTAGGCTGAGTGCCCAGAGTAACAATGTATCGGAAATTGGGAAACAGTAAAGGCACGTCATGATCAGACCTGGAGTACACCTGGAGAGGGTTTTGGAGGTCAACGCCCCCGCGGCTCGGTCTGAGACCAGGCCTCGTGGTGGATCAGGGTCTGATCAACCGGGATGTTACTGCTGGCCGCACGCAAACTGACATACGAACCGCAGCCCGGCTGGTCAGGTACTGACTTTAGGTGCCTGTCCAGTGCCTTCTTGAAGACAGCCAGGGGTCGATGGAAGTCACTGTCATGGCAATTCAGGTGTCATCCGCAAAGGAAGACACGGAGCTGTGGCTTACATCTCTACGTCAGATATGAGAATGAGGAATAGGATAGGTGCGCGTACTATGCCTTGTGGAACAGAGCTTTTCACCGTAACCGCCTCGGACTTTACTTGGTTTACTATCACTCTTTGTGTTCTATTTGTCAGAAAGATATAGATCCATCTACCAACTTTTCCTGTTATTCCTTTATCACGCATTTTGTGCGCTATTACACCATGCTAAGTTTGTATATACTACATTTGTATTTTGTTTATCCTCTACAGCATCCAGGACCTTGTCATAGCTGAGAGAAGCAGGAGCAACCTGCTCTAAACCGCGTTGCCCTGGGTTGTGTAACTGATGGGTATCTAGGTGGTTTGCGATCTTGCTTCTTAGAACCCTTTCAAAGATTTTTGTGATATGGGATGTTAGTGCTATCTGTGTGTAGTTCTTTGCAATTGCTTTACTGCCACCTTTGTAGAGTGGGGCTATGTCTGTTGTTTTAGTGAATGTGGGATGACCCCTGTGTCCATGCTCCCTCTCCATAGATAGCTGAAGTTACGTGACAGGAGCTTCTTACAGTTCTTGATGAACGCAGAGTTCCATGAATCTGGGTCTGGGGCAGAGTACATGTGTATTGCCTTTTCAAGGTCTTGTGGTGTTAGGATAATATCCGAGATATTTGAGATGACTAAATCTTGGGTCTCGTTCATAATTTGGATTGTTGACACTTATTCTGGGTAGCGGCTCTCTGAGCACTGAGTCGTATTGGGACTTCAATAACTCACTCATTTCTTGGCTGTCATCTGTGTATGTCCCATCTCGCCTAAGCAAGGGCCCAATACTGGATGTTGTGTTTTCCTTAGATTTGGCATAAGAGAAGAAGTAATTTTTTTCAGTTTCCTTTATTACTTTTAGTTCTTCCTGCGATTCTTGTCTCCTGTAAGATTCCTTCAGCTTAAGTTCGATATTTGCAATTTCATTGAACCATTGACTCCCTACATATTTCAGATATATTGGCCCCTTTCAGCAGCTCTGTGACTCTTCGCCTTCGTCTGCATAGGGAACGTCTCTCTCTTTCTGGTTTACATCTTTTATTTCTTTTTCTTAATGGAATGTGCCTTGAGCAGATCGCAAGAACCACAGAGTTTATTGTTTCTAAACAAGGGTTCGGATCAATGTTTGTTTAGGATATCTTCCCATCTTGTTTCATTTAGGACATGGTTGACTTGTTCCCACTGTATGTTTTTATTAATGAAGTTGAATATTGTGAAGACACCCTCATAAACGATCACATTTTGCTGGTCAGGAGCCCCGTGCATACATGTCTGTACCGCTATTATTCTGTAATCTTATTTGATACGGTTATATTACGCATCAGATCGTCGTTGTTTGTGAAGATGAGGTCCAGCGTATTTTCTAGTCTTGTAGGCTCTAATATTTGCAGGTTTAAGGTGAATTTGGTGCTGAGATTTAATAGTTCGTGTGTGTGTGAATTTTCATATAAGTTGCCTCCCGGGGTGATCTCTGCTAAAATATTATTTGCTACACTCCTCCATTTTAGGTGTCTCAAATTTAAATCTCCGAGTAGCAAGATGTTTTGGGCAGGAGTTGGGAAATTTTCCAGACAGTGGTCAATTTTCAAAAGCTGTTCCCGGAATTGCTGGGAAGTTGAATCCGGAGGCTTGTACACAAGTTACAGTTCCAGAGGAAGCATGTTAAACTGCTACAGTCAAATCAAAAGCTATTGTTGTAAGATTTAAGGCTCGGACGAACCTAGGACAGGTAACACTATTCTACAGAAATCTGTAACCACAACCGACATCAAGCATCACATGGAGAGAGAGAGAAAAGAGAGAGAGAGAGAAAAGAAGGGGAGAGAAGAGAGGAGAGAGAAAAGAGAGAGGGGAGAGAGGAGAAGGGGAGAGAGGGGAGAGGAGAGAGAGAGAGAGGGAGGGAGAGAGAGAGAGGTAAGAATCCCAACCCAAGAAGGAAAGTACTGGCACAGAAAATATAGATCAAGAAAGGAGTTGGCAGGAAAGGATGGGTAACTATACTGAACTGAAAAATATGAGCCGTAAGTCATCGCCATATAAAGACCTGTTTTCCGTGTCACGCATTTGGACAGGGGACTATCAATGAAGCAAAAGGAGCACCTGTGTTGGTTGGTCCAAGTCCAGTGGCATGCTAAAAGTTAGAGAAGGGAAAGCCATTTCGTCTTTAATTTCATTTAATTTGATGCCAATATAAGCAATAGTGAGAGGTTCTGTACTGAGAATTAAGAAGTAGAGAGGTCGAGATTTAGAAGTGAAAAAGTCAGCAAGGATTGCGAGTTAGCACAGAGGACAAAAACAAAAATTATTTACTCAGAGACAAATGCAAGAATATGAAGAAAATAGAACCTGATGGATGAGAAAGAGGTCTGCCTCCCTCCCATCAGTCAAAGCTGAGTGGTTGAGGGGAGAGGGTGTGTGTGTTCAGTGAGGTCGTAGGCCTTCTATCTCAGGACTGCTTATCACCCGACTGTCAACTCATCATGCAGCTCATATCATTGGTTCGCAGCTGCATTGTTGCAGAAACTCTTATGTGTGAGCTGTGACTAGTGATGTACCTAGTGAAACACGAAAGTGTTAGTTTGAAGTGGCTCTAAACGGCCTACCTTCACTACTCCTCCCCCCTCTCCTACCTCCTCCCCTCCTTCCTCGACTTGGAACACAGCCATTCGCCTCTATTTACTTATGGTCTAGAGGCAGATTTTGCCAGTCCACATAAGAGCTTGAGTGCCCGTGTCAGCCCTCCTGCCAGCTCTCCACGGTTTCTTCCTCACCCTTCTTACGAATGTGTCTCCTCTGGGCCTCATAGAAACTAATACTGTTGGATCACAGCTGCAGTGTTGTGAGAACTCTTATGTGTGAGTTGTGACTCGTGATATACTTAGTGTAACAGTGGAAATAGCCTTCCGTTTGATCCCTCTGCTGCCCCTCATCAGCTACCCCTCTTCCTTGCATTTAAACTCAACCGTTCGCCTCTATCAACGTGCAGTGTAGAGGCGTATTTTGCTGTCCCTTTGGTACTCGAATATCTGAGTTCCGCACAGCTAGTCGCCTCTGCCTACCTGAGAAATACGGACGAATCTCCCATCCTGCGTGAGTTGGTGATCCAGACCTGAGGGCTGCCGGATGAATCAGACTGTGTCACTTGTACAAAATGTGTTATATCTCTAACTGAGGAAGATGTACTGTTATTCTTCTATGCACTGAGTGTTTCTGGGAGGAATGCTGCATAGTTGGAACAAAACAAGAGTGGTTAAGAACAATTTAACGAGCATTGAAGTACCTGGTTACTCCTTTGGAGACTGCTTTTTAACTGTAACATGCCAGAGGATCATCTATAAACATAGTAAGTTTGTGCTGATTTGTTTGCCCACAGAGTGAAAATTTGTCTGTCATTCCTAGACACGTGTGCTAGCAGTGTTAAGTGCTGCGGGTTTGGAGTAATTAACGAGTAGTGCAATATTGGTAACTCTCAAGACGACTGTGGCCCCGTGAATGACTTTGAAAATCGCACTGCCACCCGCAGGCCACTACACCCATATTGCCTGTGTCCAGCAAGGTGAATATCCCTTCCTTGTCCCTTCTATTCACCGATATCCTTTAACCCATCGTCAGTGTGAAACTCCTGTCAGCTATGAGTATTACCTGGAGTTTACCTGGAGAGAGTTCCGGGGGTCAACGCCCCCGCGGCCCGGTCTGTGACCAGGCCTCCTGGTGGATCAGAGCCTGATCAACCAGGCTGTTACTGCTGGCTGCACGCTAACCAACGTACGAACCACAGCACGGCTGATCAGGTACCGATTTTAGGTGCTTGTCCAGTGCCAGCTTGAAGACTGCCAGGGGTCTGTTGGTAATCCCCCTTATGTATGCTGGGAGGCAGTTGAACAGTCTCGGGCCCCTGACACTTATTGTATGGTCTCTTGACGTGCTAGTGACACCCCTGCTTTTCATTGGGGGGATGTTGCATCGTCTGCCAAGTCTTTTGCTTTCGTAGTGAGTGATTTTCGTGTGCAAGTTCGGTACTAGTCCCTCTAGGATTTTCCAGGTGTATATAATTATGTATCTCTCCCGCCTGCGTTCCAGGGAATATAGGTTCAGGAACCTCAAGCGCTCCCAGTAATTGAGGTGTTTTATCTCCGTTATGCGTGCCGTGAAGGTTCTCTGTACATTTTCTAGGTCAGCAATTTCACCTGCCTTGAAAGGTGCTGTTAGTGTGCAGCAATATTTCAGCCTAGATAGAACAAGTGACCTGAAGAGTGTCATCATGGGCTTGGCATCCCTAGTTTTGAAGGTTCTTATTATCCACCCTGTCATTTTTCTATCAGGTGCGATTGATACAATGTTATGGTCCTTGAAAGTGAGATCCTCCGACATGATCACTCCCATGTCTTTGACGTTGGTGTTTCGCTCTATTTTGTGGCCAGAATTTGTTTTGTACTCTGATGAAGATTTAATTTCCTCGTGTTTACCATATCTGAGTAATTGAAATTTCTCATCGTTGAACTTCATATTGTTTTCTTCAGCCCACTGAAAGATTTGGTTGATGTCCGCCAGGAGCCTTGCAGTGTCTGCAATGGAAGACACTGTCATGCAGATTCGGGTGTCATCTG